TATCTGGGTTCTGTTCTTCAGTTAGTAGAGAAGGGGAAAGTATTGCGTGTTAATTTAGGTGAAATCGTCATGCAGGCATCGCGGACAGCTCCCTACCGAAAATTTTCAGATGGCTCACAGCTGAAGGTAGGCGCGATTTTCAATCCTTTGGTTAGGAGTCTTTACAGATTCTCCAAATCAGGGAAATTGAGCTTTTGGATTGGGTTTGCTTGCCGCTGCTGCCAATATAACGCTCCGAGTCTCCCTCAAAGGCGCCCAATGTAAGAGTGGCAGTATGGCAGAAGAAATAGCACTGACGTGAAGAAGAGCTGAGGTCTATCGGCATGGCCCAGAGGTCATGTTGGCTAGGGGGAGTACTATGGTGGAGACTTAATAAAATGTTTGAAGTGTGGAAAATGCCAACATGAAACTGGACTAAAGACGTGACATGTATTGCCCTACTAGCTTTGGCAAGCAACACTAGCGTGTGATACCGCATTCTATGTTATCGATGGGCTCGTGACTCGTGAAGATCAGCAACTTTCCTCAAACATTCCTGGCAAATCTAAATTTGTCAGCTGAAATAAAAGCATTTTCACTTGTGCCTGAAGCGGTGAAGATAAATCCATTGCTTTATTAAAGAGAAAAGTAGAAAATTGGTGGTGTTCGGGACAGAAATAAGCTTGGAATTGTTCTGAGATTTCACCAAGCTGATTCCACAATTTCCTGTTCTGTAAATTGTCAAAATTTCCCCAAATATTTCTAACGGCGGGGTGAATAAATCTCAAGGTCGTTTTTATGTTAAATGAAACCGGATTGGATGCTGAGGCTCCACCAAGTGATCGGTGAAAAATAATGGAAACGAGTAGTGCAAGATTTGTTTGGAAGTTCCGTGAATAGAAATGCTACTCCCTGAGTCCTTACTAGCTTGAGGAAGAGCTGCAAGGCCGCTGGCGTGACCCTTAGTTTACGTTGCAAAGCGAATGTACAACCCACGGAGACTGAAATGCCAGTGTAGTTAAGCGCAAAACTGAACAAGCCATTAAATCACTACAGAAAATATACGTTGATCGAAGATTTTAAGATGGTAGAAGCAATATCACCAAACTCGAAAACCATTCAATGCATCTTAACCGCAAATAAATCGAGTAGATGCTTTGACTCACTATAAAACTGTCTGTCACTTAAGCGTATGGAAAGACCACTGGATCACAGGTCAGGTATGGACTTGCGGCCATGTCACTGACATGTAAGTCCAAATCACAAATTAATGGGTGGTCATACAAGCTTATTAGATCAATGCATAATTGTCTCCATCAGCAGGGAGCTGTCCTCATAGCTTCTGCTACGATGGGGAGGGATGGTCAGTGAACTGTCGTGGAAGCATGGAAACATTAGATCCCACAGTCAATGATACATCTACTTGGTTCCTCTTCTTTTGCATTTTAGATTTCTTGGTAAAATGCATTAGAAAGGAGGCATTTATCGGCTTTGCAATCCACCTGCTTTGACGATGATCGACAACCAAGTGCATTGCATGCTCTAATCAAAGGATGAGCCACTTAATAAACGGTATTTCCTCCTGGTCACTTCCTTCTTTACGCTGTGCCCTTCATTCGTTTGTTCCGGTGCCCTTCTGGCACTGCACACGTGAAGGCGGTCTCGCATACTCGCACAATTCACGTATCTTTGTGTATTTACCATAGGCGCTAATGCAAAGGTGTGCTAAAGAGGATATATAAGTCATGACTACTGTGTCTTTGCACTAATAGCAGCACGTTTTCCTGTGACGGCTTGGAAACCCGAAGTGACGCTCTTCACCGCCACTCGCAATCGACACGTTTTGCATTGGAGGAAGAGGAGTCGTGAATCTCTGGATAATCCAGTGTTGGGTGATTGACAGGTGCTGCATAGCACGTAGGTACCTAGGGAGATAACAATATCTGCGCTAGCAAAGTCCACTCTGACAACGAATGTCCCACCATTTCCACTCAAAATATTTTGGGTGAAAGTTATTCCAAACGGCGTATATCATTATTGGGTGTCAAGGCCTAAATGGAATCAGATTTGTCCAAGCCAAATATATTAAGCTAGAAACAGATCAAATACACTAGTAGGTGTATTTAACCTACAAGCAGATCAGTAACAAATGGACTGGAATAAAAAAATATAAAAGATGATGCTATTTCATATCATGATTAATGATAAATTAAGTCCGGGAAATTTCGGCAGCAACTTATTTCCCAGACCATTTATACCGGTGGGTACACACAACTGAAGCTACTCGCAAGAAATTAAGTAGAGTACCCAGTTTTCTCACAATTGTTGTGCTTTGTAATAACTTAGGGAGATCCTTGAGGATATCATTTTCCCTTTGTCAACAGTTACTCAACCCAACACCGCGTCGTGACATCAGCAAGTTTACGACAAAGGGTGGGAAGATCTGGAGACGATACATCAACACCTCCTATGTCACAGTAACCTTAAGTTCTACTTGTGTGTGCGATGCTGCAAGGGCTTCAGCACACCTTCTGAAATGAAATGACACACAACGACACATATTAGTGAGGTTTGATTGCAGTCCCACCTCTTTATCCTTGCAGTGAGGCCAATGAAACTCACTTTACACGTTGTTCATCCAAAGAAGATGACAATGCGTCACCGCCACTACTTGAGGAGCTATTAGAGCAATGAGGTGGTGCCGAGAGCTTAGAGTCTCCTTGGTTGCATTAACCCAAAAAGGCACAGAAGAGAGTGCTAAAGAAATGCAAATGGAGAAGAAAATCTGCACCAAATGCAGCTTTTCTTCTGACCGCATGGATGTGATGTTATTCCATGCAGAACAGGAGCACCCAACTGAGCGACATGTCATTAGTCGATTGCGTCATCGTGTCTTGAATGCTACATTCGATCCAGAAGGCTATCACCTCGATGACGCCGATGAGGAGGAGGGGACAAATTTATCAAGGCGCTGTCATTTGTAAACTAGAGAATTGTTCTTCGTGACCTCTCACGGCCTAGAATTCTGTGCTTGATTTAACACGATAAATATTGAGCTACTCAGCTATTTAGTAAACTTTACCCAAAGGGCATAAGGAAGAGGTGGATAGAAATTCTCCCTATTTTGCAAAGCAGGTAAGCTCAAGTCACATTTATTTGGGTCAGTCGGCACTGAACGATGTGAGTAGCCAAGGTGACAAGAGAGAAATGGTGGATGTCTCTAGAAACGATGTTGCACCGGGAGGCTAACAAGCAGTTATCACTTGTGATGCACTTGTAGATACACCTGGACGCGATTTACAAGTTGAAGCCTGTCATTGCTAGGATCCATCTCAACAACCCTGCAAATACCTCCGATGACCTAGAAGAGGGGTGTGCTACTGAATAATTGAACAATCAGAAAGTCCGATGGAAATGTCTTTATCGAAACAAAACGAAAATTTGGATGAAGACTCAAAATTTTAGGCTTGTACTAAATTGTAAATCGTAAGATTGGATTCAGAACTATTTTTCCCGCATTATGGTTCTTTTTTTAGGTATGACAGTGTGCTCACCTAATGAGGTATACACAAAAGTAAAGTATACTTACATTCTTTACGGCATCCCCACTGTTCCACAAAGTGCTGGCTAACTAGTACAGTAGATCATCCCATACTTCTGTGCTACATTGACAATCTCCACTGAGCTCTCCAATGTCCACATCTTCCCTCGAATCTTTATGTGGCCCAAAGTGCTGATTAGACCCAACGGATGGGCTTCGGTGCCATTTGATTTGGCCCCTCGGCTTTACTGTCTGAGCTCAAGCCTTAATTGGAAGTGCAAAGGAATCCCATAAGATGTGCATTGAATGCGGAGTAAGTGTCATAGGAAATTGAACAACTTCTCTGCCCCAGAATTCGTTTCAACTACTTTGTTTTGTTGATAGTTCACTCAAAGGTAGGCTCATCATCAGGATTCTACCAGACCTAAATAATGTGTTGTCGAGGTAGCAAGGCTTCACAATGTGTAAACATTCGTGTAAATGACACCATGGGAGATCCAGCTATATCTGAGAGCATTATTGGGTTCAAAAACAAATCATGTTTATTCCAGGAAATTACTCCTCCGCAATTGTGAAATTGTGAGTGGATTTAATGATGGTAATTAAAAGCAAACACTCGTTTTAAGTGGAGAGTAAGCAACAGTTGGAGTGACTATACTCCACCTAAGCTATCCTTCTCGCCTACAATCCAAACACCTGCCTCTTTGTAAGGCGTTTTTGTTTGTACGTCAGTCACCCCATGTATTAGAGCTGCATCGTCTTGTTGTAGTTTTAGAATGGCTCCAAATTTTGATGACTTACCTCTTTTCCTAGCACACTGCTTTGCTCATAAGGCAAACAAGAATAACGGCAGGGTCAAAAATCTAACAAATCCTCGCACCAGAACTTCTTCTTTGCAGCAAAGCTGATTTCTTGCTCCTTCAGTTCTCTCGAGTATGTCGGAGTGAAAACAACATGATATGGCCGCTGTAAGGGATAGGGAAGAAATTTGAAAAGCTCACTTTTCCTTTCGTCACTTAATCTTGTGCCCACTGCACTTTGGACCCTTCCGAAGTACGCGACGGTTTTGCCGACGCAACTGTCAGCTGTGCCAATATTGAAGTTACTTCAGCAGTGGCAATTTCCAAAGCGTCCAGCCGAAAGCGGATGATGAATGATCTTGTGCATTTCTACTCATTTTGCATCTTCGATACAGTCCAAGTGGCCATGTAATTCGATTGCTTCTGCTCAACCCAATGCTACTAGTAGGTGTGAGGTGCAAATGCACTTTTCCCGGAAAGATAAAACCTGATGGGTAGATTCGACCATAGGATTTAGCGTAAATTTAACAAATGAGCAAGAAGCTAATCCCATTTAACAGTTCAATAAGTGTGGAGACAAAATAATTTGCCTGCTCCTCTAAGTACCCTCACGTCAGTGTTGCTGTTAGCCTTGATTGTCGTGGGTGCAGACTTTGTGCCTGTCATTTGAAGCGACTCCTAACACTGATCTACCACATTTTGGACCATGCTAAACGAGTGTGAATTAAATTTCATATTAGAAAATGAAAAAATGGACGTCTTAAGAACTCATTCTGATACGCCGTTTTAGGGACCTCGGCCACGAGTGACGCCGAATTCCTCACCACTGGCCACCATCAGTGGAGGTGTGTCGAAATGCTGACACTGACTTAAAGACATATTCATTTTCAAGGAGCGATAAGAGGACCTACAAAGCGTCAAAGTGAATCACCACTTGCTGTTCTCCTTCCAGACATAGGTAACACAGCGCTTTTTGGAAGGCTTCTGCAATGCTTTCAAGAAGCACCCTATCGACTGTGCACCACCTCCACCACAGGTGACGGAGTCTGGATATAATCTTGAGTCTACCAGAATGTTGAATCTAACCTTGTCGAAAAAGCAGTGATACGTAGGAAGGCCCCCAATGGGTAGTGGAGGATCGGATAGGTGTTTATCACTTTTCGATGCAGCAGAGCGAAGGGATTCCAGTGAATTATCAGGTGTTGAGCACATCTGATATCAGAGGTGATTAAACTGCAAAACGTGAGAAGAACCAGATCACCTCTCCTCGAGAACTTCAACCACTGAATGCGAGATAAGCAGCTATTATTCACTCCACGCCCACAGCCAACGTGTCAAATGTAAATTGTCTAACCAACGAGATGGTACGATATTTCAGTACTTGCTGTTTGCCTCCCATTGTAGGGAAATCTCGTTCCTCAGGTGCACCCCATAAACAAAGAATGAAATTCAACCGAGGTGTGCCATCCAAACATATTTCACAGTTTCATCATTGGTGTTGAAGTGGTTCGAATACCCATCGGAAGAAAACATTAGGCCTGATACTTCCTACGGCTAAATGTTCCTCAAAATCATCAGTTTCTTAGGATGAAAAAGGGACACATCCTCACACCTGCGCCTCTCCTTGGGATTAGCCAATCACACATGCTACAAAGCGAACTTCATTGCGAGTGTGTACTAGTTTCTTAATGCTCGAGGATAAATCACATCCAATAGTGAATGAATGTCACGTGCCAGTCGCTAGTCGTTCTCACGTCTACCTGGTAGTAGAGTCACCAACAAATTTTAAGGCATTTTCACAGATCAGCTGTTCAACATTCCTATCTTTCTGTCCACATCGATTGTCCATATGGGTCAGGTACAGCTACCACTGCCTCCATCATGGCCCCTGAAACCACTTTAGTTGCAAAATGCCAAAGTGATTTGCTATTGTCCTACGGCACGCCCTAATTTTCCAGTGAATCGCAATATGAAGTCTGGAAGTGGGTCGAACTGTTCGTAAGGTACACTTTGTTGTGCCCTCTCCTACCCTCCCTCTCACTGAATTCTCTTGTCACGAAATGTCTGTTTAACCCTATGGATGCGAATTTGAACTCGACTCCGTAAGTACAGTTTGGGAAAGAAGCAGTAGCATGAATAAATCAAAGTATTCGCTTCCAAAATCTACCATCAAAATCAAAGATGTACTGGTTTTTATGAGGCCTGTTATTCTTGAGAGCAAAACGAGTGCACTTTTTCTTCCAATAACAGTTGTGAAGTGAGAAAACGTGGGTGATAAAACAGTCTCTTTGCACCCACATCAACGAGGTGTAGAGACCCACATTAATATCAACTGTCTTGTCTTATTTTGATTAAAACAACGTAAAGAAACGCAGTAAGTTTAGTTGGTTTAGGGTCAAAGAAAAGGAGTGGGTGGAAAGGGGAGACAATTTAATGGACGGAGTGAGCTTACGACAGTTGAACTCCACCATGTAGAACCTCTCAGTCCAAATCTCTCGTCCTTTAATGCGGGTCGATTAAAAAGACTAAAGTTATGGTAGCAGTGACCATCACCGATTGCTGAAGTTGGTGTTGAGATGAGATGGTTCAGTATGCCTGCCAGTGACTCATCTGCCATGCCGCTCGCATGACCACTTTCCCCTATGTAGAAGAGCATCAGCTGACCGGAAGAGACAGATAACAGATCCAACACAAGCGTTTGGCAAATTATATGGCATAGACTCAATGGTAGTTTAGTAGGTGAGTAAGGGAATTACCGAATTTTCATCTCTGTGGGGGTTTAACTCGATAATGCGAGTCTATTCTCACAAAGGCACTTAACTTTTCCTTACGCAATTCGCTAATCATGGACAAGGTGAGAGCTGGCTATGGGTGCAAAGCTTATGGTTGTGAGAGCAGCAACATCTCTTCTACCACAGTGCTACCAAATTCAACCTGTTTATAAGCTGTTTCAGAGGAATCCAAGACACATTTGACATGAAGCGTTGCACGTGGCCTCATATTAGCGAGTGCTTTCATGCGCAAATTATTTGCTTCCATGTTTCCATTAACTGTTTCCTGCTTCTCTCTTCACTCCTCTACACTCCCATTCACTCCTCTGCAACACTCTGTGTTGCGAAGCTACAGTGTCATCTCAAACGCATACATGTGTTGAAGTTGCACTTTGCTCATCACCAGCCTTCTTAAATGATGCGGGTATGTGCGTACTGTGGCTTCTTATGCAACTACTACGTTGGTCTGTTTACTCACAAAGGACACAGGCATCCCACCGACCTACTTGCTGTCGCTCCTACTGCTGCAGCTGTTGAGAGGGATTCGCCTTCACCGACACCTTTCATGAATTAAAATACAACCTGGCAAGGTAACTCTCTGCAAACCTAAAATTAGATTGCATGTTTGTCTCCATCCACCACCTTCATGTGGCTGACTAGTCCTTCCGATTCCTTCTGCAACACAGTCTTCGGGTAGCGAATGCAATATCTGCTTATTGTTGATTAGTCAGCTTTTGTTCTAAACGCCTTTATATGTTAACGCTTACTGCATCAATCGGATTTAGAATAAGTTTATCATTTTGCCTCAGTCAACAACCAGCACCGTCGGAATTCTGTCTACTACCACTATTAACATAGGCATATCATGGAAGATGTATTGCCTTCAACAGGACTCATATTTACTATAGTATCTAAGGTAATGGAGCGTTGGAATCCGCAGTAGTGGCTTTCAATAAATCAGGATGACGAGTTTGCTAGTCTGTCACAGCAAACGTGCTGCAAAATTTGGCAGTTCCGTTTGCCTCCACCACCCCAAATTCTTGCGTATTTCTCGTCAATGACTTTATGATATAGGTACGGCAAACAGGGGGTCACCTATGTGCATTTTATGACCACTGATGCCACTTTTAAGAGCAGGTGTTAGAAGAAGATTGGAAACAAAATAAATCGTTGCTTAATTGATCTGATCAACAAGTCTGACCTTCTTACTACCCTGCCTCGTCAATTGATATGCTGCACTTGTGTTCATTCTCCTAGCCCCAATCAAAGACTCGTGGATGGAGAAGATTGGCTGGAGGCAGGCGTCCCACTCTGTGTGGTACGGAGGCGGGTTGATAAATTATTTGATTTTTCGGACCAGGGTCAGCATTCGCCGCCTTCCTAGAAAGCAATGGCATCCACGCATTGGGACTCCATTTGTCCCATAATTTGCCATTCACATATTGCATGCCATTCGGAGGAAAATGCGAGTCGTATATTCGCGATACGACTACGCTCCTCCTTCTTTCACACAGGATTGAAGCTGTCAGCGATTGGGAAACGAGCGGTTTGCCCATTTCTAACTAAAGGAAGTGTGTCCTACTTTGCAAAATAATAAAAAGGAAGCGCACGGATTTGGAGCCATTCCTTTGAGTTCGAACAGGAATAATGAATGTGCACGCGAGGAAGTTGAACCGCACAATCGTTACTCGGTGTTTAGGGATTAGGTTTGCTTCTAGTATCTGACGCAGTTAGGGAGCATTTTGAACCAAATGGACGTCACCTACTCCGATGCAGAGTCCTTGCATTAATACGGTACTTGTACCCAGTTAGACGGCGTTTACGGTCGAGCAATTTAGCATCTCGAAACAGGTAGAACACGGCATTTGCCAGCGTGAGTCAGTAATTCTGATGTGAACGAGGCATCACAGAAATGTCAATCGGTTTATGAAATGTACATGTTGCATTAATGTTGCACAGAGAGCATCTTTGCAGGAGAGCCTTTAAATCTTTACAGTGCGGTCCACAGAGTTGGTGGGAATGTAAATTCAACAAAGTTGTCAGGGTGCATGATTGGTATTAGGGCGAATCCCCTTCTCTCCACGTCAAAGGATCACCTCTTTACTTAGTCAGCTTCATAGCCCATTTGATAATTAGTTTGCTTAGGGAATAAGATGGGCATATTATCAAACACCGAAAAGTCACGCTCACTTCCATAGTGCAAATGGCAAATGGTCAAAGCATGGTGAGTTCCAACATCAAAGTCTCATTTCCCTGCACTGTAATTTGCCATTAAAATTGTTCTCACAATGCATTGACTACATCGCTGTTGTTAATCTATACAACTTTACTAAGTACAGCCGTGAAATTGGGTTCTCAATGGCCAGAATATTGAGTGGGTAGGCTTTTACATGTTCGTAACACTTTCATGCAGCATTCGCGAAAAAATAGAGTTGGCCATACAGATTCAATTGAGAAAAGTGTGAGAAAGTGCCACATACCAATGGATTTTGAATTTGGCAGTGCAGATATCTAGGCATTTCACTCTGGAGGAGGTAACTGCTTAGAGAATTGTATAGTGGACAAAAGGAAAAGCTTCAACTGTCCGCCAAGCAGTCTCTAGAACAAGCCCACATTCCACTCGAACGGATCTCGAGAAAGCTGATAACAATGTCCTTGTTCTTCGAACATGGTGGCCAATTGTGCTTATATCCAAAATGCCTAATGACTGATGAGCGTAATATGATCCAGCGTCAGATTATCCAAATGCATGCAGAAAATATTGGGTTGGTAATTTTACGCCCCCTTTTGGAACATTTAAAAGGACACTGCAGTGAAAAGTTGGGGGTCGGTTGTGGCGTTCCATGATGGCAGCTGTCTCAACGTGGTCTGAAGGGAACCAAGGCATCCAAATTGTTTTTCTGCCACCAATATTCTCTTCGTGGACACACTACGGCATTTCATTGGATGCGTGTTTAGTGGTGAGCATTCGCATCACCGACCACCCACAGGTTCGAACACCTCGAAAAAGAGGACTGAAGATTCAATTGAAATGACAGCCCATTCGGTATTCATTTTATTCCACCTTTAGCATCATCGTCTGTGTTCAACGCATGTCATGAGGTCGGGACATTTTGATCTGGCAGGCAAGGCTCTCCTCTCATAATCAAGTAGCTTAAAGACCATCCATTTCGCCAATCTAGTGTACACAATATTTTCCCTAATTTATAACAATATTTACAAAATATTTTTTCTTATGCAGTCTTGTCTGCTCCAATGTGAGCAGTCATTCATTTTACTCCCTCGGCTGCCCTTAAATGGCACAGCAACTAAAATTGCCTACTATCTGGACGCGAGGGAATGTGGTGACAATTCATTAATTCATGCATTAAGTAATGTGCACGCGTATTTTGGGACGGATCTAACTCCAGCAACCGACTTTGGGTGTGTTCTTATGCTTCTTTAACTTCTAATACCAGACTGCCACCTTCCTGTCCATGCCTGGTAGAACACCTCGGCGGATACTTGTGCTGCAAATCCCTGACGGAAAGCAAGAATCAGATAAAGGACATGGAATGAAAGCTTGTCTGGCAAGCTTGATATGGCTTCCGTGAGAATCCGCAATAATCATAGACAAATCCGTAATTTACTTCCTCTTTTCCCTCGTCAAGCCAATTTTCTGTTTCAGAAAGTAAAGGATGTCAGTGCTTAAAAGCGATCGACTGACAAAGGATAGCGAAAAGTAAGGGCAAACTGGTAAGACAGCAGTAACACTGGGCTAATTGCAACATTTCTTAGCTTTGTTGTTTGTGGTAGACAGAATGCAAAAGCAATATTCTTAAAATGTCCGAAATCTGCTCCCCTTAAAAGCGCAAATCAAGGAACAAGCTGCATTTAATTGCCATTGACTGCAACAAAATTTGCATTTAAAATGTATAATATGATATTTATGCCCCCATGAGAACACATTTATTTAAATAAGTTGTGATAACAAATTTGTAATGGGACTTATTTTGGACGAGGTGGTAAACATGAGAGGTACGAGGACGCAAGAAGGAGTGCAGGTTTAAATCTCGTCGAGGTCTGAGAATGGAAATAGGCATTGCAGACGTTGGCGACTGTGGTGAAGAAAGGGGATTTGGAGTTGAGGGAGTTTGAGGGAAAGGGTGAGAAGGCGACGGAGCACCCACATGGGCCAGAGGTCGAGGAGAGGCGTCTGACCGCAGCCCAGGCTGAAGGGCTGCAGCAAGCAGGCGGCCACAGGGGCACTGATGAGCATCGGATGAAATCGCGACATACCGAGGGCCGCGTAGCCCTCCATCCGTGACAGCCATGCCACCCAGTTCGTGAGGAAGGCGGTGATGGTAAGGAAACGCAGACAGGTAGGTGTGGGGTAGACACCGTCTCCTTCTTCACACCCATCATCCTCACTGTCCTTCCGCTCCTCCCGCAGAGGAATGGGCACGTGGTAGAAGGGTGAGAGAGCATCGAGCGGCATCATCCAGAGAACGCCAGTGAGGCGAGGTCTCGGTAACGCATGGTGTTGCATCAGGTTGAGCAGAGGTGACAGCGGTGACAGCGCCTATGCAAACACATAAGCGACAAACTGCCTGCATCGCCTGCATTGTTGACTTTTACATCACACACTCACGCCACACAGCCAAATACGCATTCACCCGAACAACGAGCCGC